TTCCTCAGCTTGCAACCACCTTTGTTATGCCCTTCTGTTCCACAATAAGAGCAAGTAATGATAGTACCATGCTTGGACATTTTAGGACCAAACTTGCCCATGACTTCATGAGGTTGCTTCCTTCTATTCTTGGGTGGCCTGCCAACTTTTTTCTCATAGACTGGTGGAAGTACATTTGGTCCTTCAACTTTCTGCCACATGCTCCTATCTTTGCAAGGATAGATTTTGGGACCATATGCTTTTAGGTAGGTTGTAGTAGAGTAGCACTCATGAACCATGGACTCAGAAGGAATTCTCTCTATCCTCAAACAAGATATAGCATGAGAGCAAGGGATACCAGTCAGCTCCCACCTCCTACAATCATACTGCCTAATGCCTAGGTCCACTGTGTATTGTCTATCCAACACATTGACCTGAAAAATGCCATTACCAGCAGGCTGTGCATAACAGGTGTTTGCCCACTGAGAATTCTTATAAAGTTTCTTCCTTATCTTGAGGCAAATAGTACCATCCCACACAATCCCTACATCCTTGTACTTTGTATGATACATTGTCATCAGTTGTGTCTTGACTTTGCTCTAGCATGCTCAAGATAGGCATTTCTCTAGCATCTAGTATGTATTTATTAAACACCTCACAGCTATTGTTTAGTAGAATATCACACTTGGAGAAAGTGCTAAAGAAAGCCCTAACCCAAGTATTTGGTGGCATCTTTTCTATCCATTCAAAAGCTTTCTGGTTAAGGACCTTAATCTTCTCCATGTTCTCATTCCATCTAACTACTGTGGTTGACCTAGCACAATCCAGAGTTGGTTCTTTAAGTTCTCACCTTTGAATTGCATCTGGAAATTGGAATAAAGGTGTCTGACACAGAACCTGTGTTCAGATTCTGGGAAACCTATGCAACAACTGGTACTAGACCCTGCAAATGGATAAGAACAAATTAGCATGAATACAACAGCTGCAAGTTAAGAAGATGTGCAAAAGCTAGTACCTTCTGTTTGTTAGTCATGACAATCCATGGGTATGTGTTTTCAATGCCTAGGTCTTGTTTCAATGTTTCCAAGAACCACTTCCAAATAGCCAGAGACTCAACTTCTACAACTCCAAATGCAATTGGATAAATGCAGTCATTTGGATCCATTCCAACTGCAGTGAGCATTATCCCTCCATGCTTAGTCTTAAGGTGGCAACCATCTAGGTAGATTATAGGTCTACAACCAGCTAGGAAGCCCCTCTTGCAAGCATATAAAGAAACATACAAGGATGAGAATAGGTTTCCAACAAGATTAAGATAGAAAGTGCTCCCTGGATTGCTTCTTCTCAATTCATGTGCATAATCCCACAACTTATTGTACTGCTCTTCTTTATCACCAAGTATCTGCTTCATAGCTAGTCTCCTAGCCCTAGCAAGTGTAGTTCTTGGGGGTGTCAAATTCCATTCCTTTTGGACTATCCTTGCAAAGTTAGTTAGTGTCATCTTCTTGTCAGCCTGAAATGACTCTAAGTATGTATGAGCAAGCCACCTTGAGGTACATCTCTTCAATGTCCACTTCCTTTGGCAAGTGTGCTGCCCATGATAAGTCTTGATCATCAATCCCTGAGTCCTACTATCACTTGAAGCATCTAAATTCTAAAGACACTCATCTGCATAATGAGCCTTAAACCTTTTCTTCTCATTCCTAGGCATCTTCATCTCTACCCTCTGCTTCATGCTATATTGTGTGATAGCCTTCCTGAACATCTCAACTGATTCAAATATCATGCCAACTTTAAAGATGGGATTGTCTATGTCTTTACTTCTGAATGACTTAAACCTTAGACCTTGTCCTTCTTCATCAGATTCTGGCAATTCTAGCTCAGATTCATCTGTTGACTCCTCTCCATAAATAGCCAAAGATAAAACCTTTATCCCCTTCAGTTTGCTACCAGCAGCCTTCTTGTCCTTACCTTTCTACTGTCCTTTGCTGCCAGTCTCCTCTGTAGCATCCTCATCAACATAGTCCACAAAAATATCATCATCATCTCCTCTAAATCAAAATCACTATCACTGAAATCAAAGTCATCTTCATTGTCACCATCATCTCCATGCACATCATGCTGCACTGATTCCTGCTCCATTTCAAAGTCATCTTCACTGTCACCATCATCTCCATGCACTGAATGTTGCACTGAATCTTGTTGCACTGAATCTTCTCCTTCTTCCTTCCCAACAAATCCTCCCTTGGTTGGGCTGATTACTGCAGGCAGTGAAGCAATTGGGTTTGCCACTATGTCATCCCAGTTTATGCTAGGCATGCTGTTATCATGATCAAAATAGATAATAAGGTTCTTCACCCTGTCAACAATGCCAGTCATCACCAATGTCTCTGAATCTGACTCAATCACCCTAAGTCCACGACCAAGGTCCATTTCAGGAAGCAACCAATATATCTTCAAAGCATCTATTTTAGGACATTTCAACTCATCAACAAAATCCAAGAACCACAATGGAGACCAGGTATCTACCTCGCAATGGTCAAACCAGTTCACTTTTCCACCAATGTAAGCCTTATCCGACTCTTGACCAACAAAGAAACCATAGTGGTGCACCTCAACAGTGAACTTGTGATCAGCATCGCCTACATTGAACCAAATGATGCTCATTACTACTTGATTTATTTAGGCGACACCAGAAACCCTAAACCCTAGCCACCAAAACAAACGAAATTGGCCTACACCAGGAACAAGTACATGCACACCACCGCATCCTAAAGGCACTAATAAGAAGGTTTTGAGCTTCGATTGACTAACCGTAGTCCGGCGGTGGTTCCCCTTCCGGTCGCAGGCACGGCGCCATGCCGCAGATTCATCGCAGTCGCAGCGGAAACCTGCGCTCCCCAGGTACGTCTTGTCATTGCTCTTCCGCAGAATCTTGCAAAGTCGCCGACTTTTGCCTCCGTCGCAAGCCACCACGCCCCCACCGCCGCCTCGCCCCCAGCACGCCGAACTTGAAGAAGACAGGATGAGATTTTGGAGATTGGCAGATACGGACGGGCCTAGTTGCATAATGTCACCTGCGGTCGGTATTCAAACGTGTGGCGCACGTGCTGCCACGTCGCCTGGAGGCCGCGCCGGATGGGAAATGGGCCTCCGGTGAACCAATGGACAAGTTCAGGGGCCCGTTATCCGCGTTTGCAAGTTGGTGGACCGGAATGGCACATGCTGACAAGTTAAAGGACCGCCAGTGTATTTCACTCATTCTGAAATATGTGTTGAGACGATGCTGGAGGGTCTCACGTCCTAACTTCGCTGCTTACCTTTGTGCCCAACATTCTTTAGCTATGTTACAAGATTTTGTATGGCTTTCTCCCCCTAGCTTAATTGTCTGCAATTTGATTGTAATAACTCTATTTAAGTAATGAAGCGTGGTTTAAAAAAAAGAAACAGTGAAGGCAGAAAATCTCCTGAGCTGGTAAAACAGTGGCGGGCTTCGTTGCGGTACCCCAAATGACTATGAGCCGTTTATTGATTTCGATCGGATGGTCACGATGAACTGTTACCTCCTAGGAGGCAATAGGTGAAATATATATTCATTATTTTTTATTTTTAAAATAAGATAAATAAGGAAAATTTTAGGTATAGAAAATCTTTTTCCAAGATATGATTGATACATCCGTGATCTGATAGATATGGTAAACCTTTTTTATTTTATAACTTTGGACTTGATATATTTTGATTTGCATTAAATTTTTAGCGTGTGTATGCATTTTAGGTGAGAGTGGATACGTGACATGATTTTTACCATGTGTATGCAAATTTTTTAGCGTGACACATTAAAGATTTATGTGCAATATGATTTGCATGTGCGTGCTTGTGTTAGCGTGTGTCTGCATTTTAGGTGGATACATGACATGCATGCATATTATTAGCATGTGTATGCGTGTTAGGTGGGTGGGTAACGTGTTAGTGCATATAATGTAATTTCATTTGTAACTTTAGAATTTGATAAAAAATATGTTTGTAACATTAGGATTTGATAAAAGTTTCTATGTTATATATTAATTTAGTGACATTTTGTTTAATTGCTGCAAGCTCTAATACGGATAAAAACTATATTAATATATCGATATTTCGCTGGAAACATCACACGTATTATATGTGTATATGAATCGAATAGTTCAAATTTAAATTTATATTTGGATATCAACTTGATTTTGAAAACAACAAATATCCACTTACTTTATCTATTATATTAGTGGCCGCGTGATTAGTCCGTGATTAGGGGAGTCGGCTTGCATGTGGGGAATCGACATGCATGTCTTCCTGGATTTCCCTCCCATCATTAGGGGGATGTGGCGAGATTTTATTTTGCTTTCCTAGATTTTTTTAATTTATTAAGTGATTTATAAAATGTGAAAAATCAATGGCTTAGATTGATTTGAAATATTACCTCCTCAGAGGTAAAGTTTGTACCTTAGCATTGCCCAACAGTGGCACGGGCATGCATTCTGATGTGCTGACATGTCGGCGTCCCTACACACTCAATTGAAAGCTCTTTTTTTTTGGAAAATGCACGGGGCATGCTTTCAATGAAGGGAATCTCTATTACGCGGCTGTCGCGCTCCAGCAAACCTGCTCCCACCCACCTTCTTCCTCCCGCTCGTGCCCGCACCGGAGACGAAGAAGAAGATGGTGGCTGTTAGGGTTTTGGCAGCGGCAAGGTTAGGGTTCTGCTCACCTGTGGCCTTAGAAGGAGGATTTGGGGTGGGGAGACGACCGCAACACGGCGATGGTGGCAGGAGAGACGATGGCAGGGCGGGGCGGCGAGAGATGGCGGTTGGGCGGGGTTGGCGGCGGGGACGTCGCGGCGATGCTCGGCGGCGAGTTGTTGTGATTAGGGTGGGCAGGGTCGAGGGGCGGGGGCGGGTTGCGTTGGCGCAGCGAGGTGGCAAGTCGCCGGTTGCCGGTGGTTGGGGTAGGGGCGAGGATGAGGACGACGCCGGCGAGCCTCCATGAGATTAGGGGAGGGCAAGGTCGAGGGACAAGGGGCGGGAGGTGGGCGGGTGGCGAGGCGGCAAGAGCCGCCAGCCGTCGGTGGTGAAGGGTGGGAGAGGGGGCGGAGGAGGACGGGCGTAGGGAGGAAGAAAAAGGCGAGGGAGAAGGTGTCGCAATGAGGAAGGCGGAGCACGCGGTCGCGCGTTATTGCAGTCCTTCAACTTGAATGAAGCAACTCGTCGACGGTCCAATACACTGGTCAAAACCATAGGGCATAGACCATAGACTATCTGCAAATTGAATATCGAGAACGCGTCTCATGAGCAGAGTTTTCTATTAGCAAATTACTATATCCGTTCCAAAATATCTATCGTTTTCGCTTTTCGAGAAACAACTTTAACAAAATATATATTAAAAAATATTAATATTTGTGGTACATAATTGATATCATTGGAAAGATCTATGAATCTAGTTTTTTAATAAATTTATTTGGAGACACAGATGTTGCACGTATTTTCTATAAATTGAGTTAAACTTGTGGCACGGAAACCAAAAGCAATAGATAATTTGGGATAGAGGGAGTATATACTTTTCTAAATTAGCACCCATCTATGTAACGAACCTAGATAACTGAATGAAGTTTGGGAGGAAAACGTAGCAATAATCTAGGAAGAACAGGATTGAACTCGGCTGAATCCCGAGGGGGAGGATTTCATTAGATGGGGAATTCAGAGTTCTGTTCTTCGATGCCGTTACAGGAGAGCGTCCTGGCTTATAACTGCCTCCAGGCGCCGACACAACCACACCGTGAGCCGACCATGGCCCAATACGCTTACACGGCCCATGGCCCGCTACCAGTACTACGCCTGCCTAGGCCCATGGCCATAGCATCTTCCCTCGCTTGATCGACAACTTGTCCTCAAGCTGTATCAACTGATAGATGCTTCGACATACAGTCAGCATCCTCCCATGTCGCCATATCTGCTGGTAATCCGTGCCACTACACTAGTAACTGAGTACTGTCCTTAGCACCTCGAAGGATCGAGCGCTGCTTCAAAATCTTCTGAGGCCATAAAACCCGATCAGGATCAGAACTGACCGTAGCAAGATCAGAGCTTACCAGAGTTGATGAGGGCACATGGCCTTTGAGCTGCGACACATGTACCACCCGATGAATCTTGGCACCCACTGGCAGATCCAGTTTGTATGCTACCTTCCCTATCCTCTGCAATATCTTGTATGGCCCATAAAATCTGAAAGACAGTTTCTGATTTGATCGGTTGGAAATAGTTGACTGAACATATGGCTGTAGTTTCAGAAATACTGAATCACCCTCAGCAAACTCACGTTGTGATCTTTTCTTGTTAGCCTGAGATTTCATCCAATGCTAAGCTCTAAGCAGCTGTTGCTTAACCAATTGAGATAGCTGTTCACGGTCAGTCAGCCACTGTTCCAAATCCAGCACAGCACTTAACTTCATATTTGCAATGCCGTGTTGGCGAGGTGTGTACCGATACAGAACCTCAAATGGCGATTTACCCAATGCTGAATGTATTGAAGTTGCTCCATTGCCTAGGACAGGAACGGACGGTGCACCTCAAGAAACCTTCAACACATTGATTCAACCGCTCTGTCTGTCCATCCGTCTACGGATGATATGATGAACTTATCATAAGCTTTGTGTCTGACAATCTAAACAGTTGCTGCCATACAGAGCTTGTAAATACCCTATCTCTGTCTGAGATAATTGTCTTTGGCAACCCATGCAGCTTATAAACATGATTCAGGAATAGCTGGGCAACTTAGAGTGCTGTGAATGGATGTTTAAGAGGAATAAAGTGACCATACTTGCTGAACTTATCAATCACCACCAACAGTGATTTGTAATGGTCAGAAGTTGGAAGACCTTCTATGAAATCCATGCTAATAACCTGCCAGGCTTGATCAGGTATGGGCAAAGGTTGAAGGAGGCCAGGTGATTTAATCCTCTCAGTCTTGGCCTATTGACACACCTGACATTGTTTAACAAATTCTTGGACAGGCTGTTTCATATTGGGCCAAGCAAACAATTGCTTAATTCTTGCATATGTAGCACTGATCCCTGAGTGACCCCCAATACCACTATCATGCATAGCAATCAAAATGTGCTGTTGAGCAGTGGTGTTATTGCCTACCCATACCCTGCCTTTGTATCTGAGGACTCCCTCTTTCAAGGTGTAGTCCGGATGAGCTTTAGGAGAGACAGCTAATTCCATTATCAGCTGCTTGGCTTGATCATCTTCCTCGTAGCCTTCTTTTAGTTTCTGTATCCATGTAGGAATGCACTCTGAAATTGCCTGGATTTCTGTTGATGGTGCACACCTAGATAAGGCATCAACAACTTTATTTGTTGCCCCTTTCTTATACTAAATGACATATTGCAAATCCATGAGCTTCATGAGAGCTTTATGTTGCAATTTAGTAGCTACTCTTTGTTCAGTGAGGTGCTGCAAGCTTCTGTGATCAGTCCTGATGACAAAGGGCTGATGCTGAAGATATGATCTCCACTTCTCAACTGCTAACAGAATTGCCATGCACTCTTTTTCATAAACTGATAGAGCCTGATTCCTGGGACCTAAGGCCTTACTCAGATAAGCCACTGGGTGTTGATTTTGCATCAGAACAACCCCAATACCCATGTCACTGGCATCTGTCTCAATTACAAATTGCTTGGCAAAGTCTGGTACAGCTAGGACAGGAGTAGCTATCAACTATTGCTTGAGTGTTTGAAATGTTGTTTCAGCAGTTGCAGTCCATTGAAATGGCACATTCTTTTTGAGAAGATCAGTCAGTGGTCTTGTGATCATGCCATAGTGCTTAATGAACTTTTTATAATATCCAGTCAATCCCAAGAATCCTCTTAACTGTTTGACTATTTTTGGTGTTGGCCACATACTCACTGCCTGAATTTTTTAACTGTCTGTTGCCACTCTAGCTTCTGAAATAACATGCCCCAAATATTCAATAGTTTTCCTGGCAAAAGAACACTTAGACTTTTTGATAAAGAACTGGTGCTGCTCAAGTATTTCAAACACCTTTTGTAAAAAGAACCACATGCTGTTCCAAGGTTTCTGTATACACCAGAATATCATCCATAAATACCAGGACTCCCTTCCTAAGCAATTATGCAAAAATCTCATTCATGAAGCTTTGAAAGGTTGCTGGTGCATTTGTGAGGCCAAATGGCATGACTAGAAACTCAAAGAGACCATTATGGGTTCTGAATGCTGTCTTATACTTCTCTCCTGCAGCCATGCAAATCTGGTGATACCCAGATGTGAAGTCTAGCTTAGTGAACCACTTTGAACCAGCTAGTTCATCCAGAAGTTCATCCACCACAGGCATAGGATGCTTATGCTTGACTGTTATTGCATTCAAGTGTTTGTAGTCAATGCAAAAGCGCCATGTTCCATCTTTCTTCCTAACCAAAAGCACAGGAGAGGCAAAAGAGTTTGTGCTGGGTCTGATCACACCCCGTGAAAGCATTTGTCGCAGTTGCTTTTCAATTTCAGTCTTTTGAATAGGAGAATATCTGTAAGGTCTCACTTTAACTGGCTGGGCTCCAGGCACTAGTGGAATCCTATGATCTACCACTCTTTTTGGAGGTAGCCCAGTAGGCTCAACGAACAAATGCTTGTACTGATCAATCAAGGCTGATACTGACTGTGGGATCTCTTCAGCAGAAACAGTGCTATGTTCTTTACTTTCATTTGCAGCACTCAACAACTGCACACAATGAGAGACAGCTCCATGTTTCAGAAGATCTTTCAGTTTCTGGGCACTGATTGGATTTCAATGTGTAGAATCATTGACCACTCATTGCAACTTCACGGTTTTGCCCTGATACATAAACTGCATTGTTTTCAGCTTATAATCAATCAACAAGGGGCTACAGTCCTCTAACCAATCCTCTCCTAGGATGAGATCATAGCATTTCAGAGGAAGCACTTTGGCATCAGAAACAAACTTGTGACCCTGAATGAACCAAGGCAGATGAGTCACCTTCTGATCACACAGCATAAGTCCACCATCAGCTGCCTTATAAGTTGTTGGTTCACATGCAGTGGCTTTCAGTTTCAGATGAGACACTAACTGCTCACTCACAAATGTGCCAATGCTACCCGAGTCAACTAATATTAGCACCTTATGTTTCCCAATTTGGGCTAAAAGCTTCAATGCTACCCGAGTATTGGGTTCAGTTTGGATAGCAAGAACCTCCTGTTCCTCTACAGCAGACTCATCCTCACTCTCATCATCCACATTTCCAAGGCATCCAAAAACTCCTCTAACACATGTAATAAAATGTGAGGAGGCAAGTATGAGCTGGACTCCATTTCTCACCGCACTTGAAGCACAAACCATTATGACGCCTGAAGGATTTGAGACTGGCCAATTTGTCAGTTTTATGTGTCTTGATCACTGGATTGGTTGCGTCAGCAGGCCTTGTCTTGTCGGAGCCCAATGATGAACGCGCAGTCGATCTGGTGAAATCCCACCCAGATGACTTTGCATGTCCGAGCTCAAGCTCTTGTTCTTGAATCAGCGCCAGCGCGCTCGCGGTGTCGACATCGCGAGGCCGGTGAAGCATCAGCACCGCCCTGAAGTCGTCGCGAAGACCACCCACGAACCGCGTGACGAAGGTGTCGTCGTGTTAGTCGCTGAATTCTCGCTCGGTAGCAGAAGAATTCTTACTCTCATCGAGAGAGGATGACACTAGGAGTTGGAGTAATTTTCTTGTCTATTTCTCACACAAACTCACACAAATGCCATACCAACCTAAGGGATTGGGGTTACATATTTATAGGCTGCTAGTCAGCCAAGCATATGCTAAGATGCTAGTCTAAGATGCTAATATGTTGTCCTAACTAAGATGCTGTTCTCTAGTTTAAGATGCTGTCATCTAAGATGCTGTCCTCTAGTCTAAGATGCTATCCTAAAAACAGAAAAACAGCCATAAGAACCATGTGAGCAGCACAACCCCGCCCCACAGAGACCAGCCACGCATGAGACTTATCCATCACGTCGTACGCTGGGTTGTAGAGCAATACCCCATGGGCCAGCTTCTCGAACGCCGCCTGATACTCCAGCACCGAGGCAATCTGCTTCAGGGCGTTGAATTGCCGTAGAAGAACCTTGTACTGATCTTTGTCAAATTTCGCCATCACCAGCTCGTACAGCCGCTCCCACTCCGCAATCCTTCCCCGCCGCTACACGGTCTGCAACCAAGTCGCCGCGGGCTCCTTGAAGTTCAATGCGGCAAAGCGCGACTTCATCTTCGTGTCGGCGGCATATACCTCGAAATAAAGTTCACATTGATCCCGCCACCAACGGGGTTAGATCCATCGAATTTGGGGAATTACATCTTCGGAATCAATGAACTGGGGATTGTGATGTCCCGAATCCTCATCAGAAGCAGGAGCCTGAACTGGAAGTGGGTGGGGAACGGGACCATAGTGCGTACCGTTGCCCGGGCGAGGTGGGGGAAATCCGAGGATTCCACCGCCAGCATCCCGAATTTGATTGTCATCACCGTGCCCCATGGGTGAGTTCGGTCGCGGAGGCGTCGCATTTGACGATGCTCCGGGAACGGTGTTGAGGTCGAGACCCGCCGTAGCTGGTGGCGGATGGTGTTGCGCGCTCCACTCCGCAACTGGTGGCGGATGATGTTGCGCACTCCAGTGAGGTGGCGACGGGGCAGTGGTGGTGGTGGACGAAACTCGAGGCGAGACACACGCGACGTCGTCTCCACGACCCGAGTCGCCATGACCGTGGACTTCTGCAACAGGGTGCCGAGCGACCCGTCCGCCGTCTCCTTCCAGGTCTCGAGCACTCCAAGCTTGTCCAAGGCAGTGGACATCATGTCCTGGAACCCGGCGAACTGCTTCGCCATGGCCTGCATCGTCGTCTTCAATTCGTCAACAGAGGCCGCCATTTCCAACTGAAATTTGGGCGGATTCTTCTTCTTCGGCGCCAGGATTTGGGGGAAAAAATTTCCCGGCCAAATCAACCAAGCTCCTGATACCAAATGTAACGAACCTAGATAACTGAATGGAGTTTGGGAGGGAAACGTAGCAAGAATCTAGGAAGAACAGGATGTAACTCGGCTGAATCCCGAGGAGGAGGATTTCATTAGACGGGGAATTCAGAGTTCTGTTCTTCGATGCCGTTACAGAGGAGCGTCCTGGCTTATAACTGCCGCGAGGTGCCGACACAACCACACCGTGAGCCGACCACGGCCCAATACGCGTACACGGCCCATGGCCCGCTACCAGTACTACGCCTGCCTAGGCCCATGGCCATAACAATCTACCACATGTTTTGCACCTCGCTTCCGCCTTCCGTGGCGGTCTGATCCGAGTCTGGACTACGTGCAGCAGATTCACATTGCAGAGCAACTCCTCTCGACTTCTCTAGCATGTGAGGATACGTTTTTTTAGTTGAGCAGTAGCATGTGAGCATACTGCTCAGCTTGCCTATTTATTCTCACCTCCCCCATCGAGTTCACCACAAGTCCACAGCACATCCACTCCTCGCGATCACAGCGCGACGACGACGATGGGCAGATTACCTGGGCTCTGCCTGTTAAGCCTCCTCCTCGCCGTCGCGGCGGCGGTAGGGGAGCCCGAGACGGAGGTCCAGTCCTCCTACATTTTGCACGTCGCGCCGGGGCACGCGCCACGATCGTCACGTCCACGCTTGCTCTCCCGCTCCTACACCTCCTTCCTGCGCGACCAACTCCCCACGCACCTGCAGCAGCCGGAGCCGAAGCTGCACTACTCCTACGCGCACGCCGCCACGGGCTTCGCGGCCGGGCTGACTCGGTGCCAGGCCGACCACCTCGCGTCTCTGCCTTCCATGCTCGCCGTTGTCCCCGACAGGTTGCGTCGGCTGCACACCACCCTGACGCCGTCGTTCCTCAGCCTCGGGAATGCGCCCGGTGGCGGTGGGCTCCTCCCGTCCTCGAACGCCGCTTCGGACGTCGTGATCGGCGTCATCGACAGCGGCGTCTACCCCAAGGACCACGCGTCTTTCGCCGCCGACCCCATCGATGACGGCCCCGCCTGCCAAGTTCCGCGGCGGCTGCGTCTCGACGCCGTCGTTCAACGCCACCGCGTACTGCAACAACAAGCTCGTCGGCGCAAGTACTTTTACAAGGGCTACGAGGCAGAGGACGGGCCGATTGCTGAGGCGCTCAAGTCGCCGCTCGACACCAGTGGCCACGGCACGCACACCGCCTCCACTGCCGCTGGTTCTGCCGTCGCGGACGCCTCCTTATTCAACTACGCCAAAGGCAAAGCCGTCGGCATGGCCTCCGGCGCGCGCATTGCTGCATACAAGGTACTCTGGGAGAATGGATGCATGGACTCTGATGTCATCGCCGCGTTTGAAGAGGCCATCAAGGACGGGGTTGACGTCATCTCCTTCTCGATAGGCCTGAATGACGTCGAGCCAAAGTTGTACGAAGATGGCAACGCCATGGCCGCGTTCAACGCTGTCCGCAAGGGCATCGTCGTTTCCGCCTCCGCGGGCAACGAGGGCCCCGGTGAATCTACTGTCAAAAACACTGCGCCGTGGTTCATCACGGTGTGGGCGTCAACCATCAACCGCCGCTTCACGGCGACCGTCGTCCTCGGCAACGGCAAGTCCTTCACCAGCATGTCGCTCTTTGCTGGCGCGCCACTTGGTGTTAGCAACACCCCTCAATTAATTCACAGAACAGCTTGGTTCAACTACAATCGGAGTACAGAACCTCAGGGGAAGGGAGGTTAGAGATCAGAGCAGCCTAGATAGGGGATATAATCAGAGAAGCAACAGGGAATAGATCAGGAAGAGACTAGAAGGTCCTAGAAGGTACTGGAAGTAGCGAACCGGGTACAGAGGAAGAGAGACTCAAGTAGGAAGAGGAACAGTAAGTAGGAGATGGTTTCTTCTGATAATTGTTCGATCCCGTCTTCCTGGTTCAATGCCTCCTCTTATACTGAGTATGGCCACACAAGCAGGCACCAGGCCTCGGTGCGGCTACGGCCCATGGCCCTCCATCAACAGCCAGCGGCCCATATAGCTGACATTCCCCTCTCCTTGAAATGCGGCTTGCCCCCAAGCCGCTGATATTGTAGAAGACGAAAGTTCATCAGATTCTTCAACTGTACAGCAAACCATAGCAGCAGACATTTCATGGACTGAATAAACGGAGAAGACTTGAATGTGTCCCTCAACCAGAAAACCGGTGTCTTGTTCTGACGTATTGAACAAAGTGGAGGTGGTCCAGGAGGTGCATTCCTTGCCAACGAGACAGCATCCCTGACATCTCCGAAGTTTAAGTCTGACTACCTTCTCATAGCACTAATTTCATGCAGGAGATCCAGCTTGGAAATCTTTTCCAGCAAAGCATCTGTAGTTGCAGTACGGGTTTTTCGTGGAACTTTACCAAGTGATCTTGAGGACGCTCCCTGTAGAAAATCAGACATCCATGGCTGAATTGAGAAATTTGCTGGAGGGCTCACTGTTTCACTGTCTGAATTAGAAATATTGACATCTGAATGCTGAGTTTTATCCTTTGTTGCTTGCTCCTTTTTCTTCAGAGAACCGTTTGTTTCAGAGGCAGAAAATGGAGACGTCCCAGAGTCCGAACTCGAGACAGAGGAAGTTCCCGCTTCAGTATTACCGCAAGGTGTCTCAATGCTGCACTGATGCTCTTCCACACCACGCTTCTCCTCATGCTTCAAATCCTTGTCTAGCACAACCCAGCTTGCCCGTGCTGGCTTACACTCAACAGCAGCAACACCAGGAGGAGAGCCGGAAACAAGTTTATACCTGTCTATATCATACTCATCAAGTTGCCTCATCAGTTGAGGACACAGCTCTGATAAATCACATTTCTCATCCAACACTGACTTATGGCCACTTGTACAGTTCCAGCGAACAGCGGAAAGCCCCAGAACTTACTGCCAGACCTCTATGCCACGATGACGACTAGGAGTATGATGCTTCTGCCGAGCTGCACGACATGCGTGAGCGCCCAGATCATGGCTGTCTTGGAGATCTCCCTCGTGGCTGCCCTCACAGCAGAATTCAAGATATCTGCGAAACAATGTACCTGACAGAATTCACCATCCCATAATACCTTGCACTTATCATGAAGAACAGTCTTGAGGGAATCAGGCATTGAATATTGTGCGGACGTAGGATCCCGCTCGTCTTCAGTGCGGACGTAGGATCTGAATATTGTGAATCTGGGATGTTCAATGCCAGCTTGGTCTCGGGGAAGATCGTTTTGTGCCAGGCAGACTGGCCCTAGACACATGGCGCTCAGGGAGAGGCTGTCAGGCTCGCCGGTGGCGTGGGAGCAATCCTCATGACCGCCAAAGAGTATGGCGAGCACATGACGCCTGTTGCTCATATCCTCCCCGCCACTTCCGTGACGTTTCCCGCCGGCGTCCAGATTTTGAGGTACATAGCGGCGCAACCATCCCCGGTTGCGACGATCGTGCTCAACGGCACCATCGTCGGCCGGACGCCTTCTTCCCCAAGAATGGCGACCTTCTCCAGCCGCGGCCCCAACCCCCAAGTGCCGGAGATCTTCAAACCGGACATCACCGCCCTGGGCGTCGACATCTTGGCCGCTTGGACCGGCGAGAGGTCGCCGGACAACCTAGCCAACGACACGAGGCGCGTGCATTTCAACATCATTTCCGGCACGTCGATGTCGTGTCCGCACGTGAGTGGCATCGCCGCGATGCTCCGGCAGGCGCGGTCGAAGTGGAGCCCAGCGGCGGTCAAGTCCGCCCTGGTGACCACCGCGTATAACGTGGACAACGCCGGCGACATCATCAAGGACATGTCCACCGGCAAGGCATCCACGCCGTTCGTCGGTGGGGGCGGCTGGCCATGTGGACCCCAACCGCGCCCTCGACCCGGGCCTCGTGTACGACGCCGGCGCCGACGACTACGTCTCCTTCCTGTGTGCGCTCGGTTACACCTCCAAGAAGATCGCCATCTTCACGAGAGACGGCTCGGAGACCGAATGTTCCAAGCGCAAGGGTCCATCGGCGACTTCATCTACCCAGCCTTCTCGGTGGTATTCAACTCCGACAAGAAAGCGGTCCGGCAGCGGCGCGTCGTGCGCGACGTTAGGAGGGAATTCATGGACGGGTACAATGTCCACGTCACCAGCCCCGCCGGCGTGCGTGTCACGGTGACGCCGCAGATTTTGGTGTTCACCGCGTTGGACAGGACGCATAAGTATGAGGTCACTTTCACGCCGCTGAAAGGGGTGAACGTGACTGAGAAGTACACATTCGGGTCGATCGGGTCCCTTTTTAGGCGAGTGATTTTAGGTGCCTAGTAGTTAGGGCACGTTTGGCAAGGTTCTAGGTGCCTAGTAGTTAGTAGCCATTGTCTCCCCTACCTTACCCCCTTACCCCCACGGCTCCCGTCCAAATCGTCCGCCTTTCACTACCCAGCTAATGGCGCCTAATCACTTATTTGGGATGGAAAGGTTGTATATCAACTGTTTGTAGAGTTTCTTATTGGATCGGAGTTGTAACGTGGACTACGTGGAAAACATTTTGTTATTGTTGTGATATTATTTAAATAATTCATATTATTATTTTACTAGTGCATCAATTCATGTACCAGCACATGCTAAATATCTTAAGAGACATAAGCATTAGACTTCATTTTTTATACCTATAACTAATGAAAATTACCAATCTTTGCACCTTTTCTCTCTAGTTCATTATCTAATATTCATATAGATATAGATACTAGGTGGTTGCGATATACTTATTAATTATTCTAATCAATTTTTTTTTCTCTTTTTACATGTCTTTGTATGTCTTTAATATGTCTTAGTTGAAACTTTAGCTTTTTTTTGTGAATAGTTGAAACTTTAGCTTACGTCATGGTGGTTCTCACTATGTCTCTTGACATCATGAACGCAAATTTTGACTTTCAAATATGCTCCTCAAGTTAAGTTTAAAATCTTGTTCTTTTATTGTACATTTTATTCGAAACCCTCCTTTTATATTTTATAAATATAAGAATATTAGGTGGTAGACTGTATTCTCAATTACTACAATGTATAAAAGATCGTTTAATTTCCACAACACAATACTCAAAATCTATAGTAGAGCTTTAAGTGAGATATATAAAGGGCCAACGATATATGCTAGCTATTGAAACATAATAGTCAATGTTTACTCTAATAGAATCTCAAAGAACAAGGACTCAAAATCCACCAATTATTGAACTAACCCCTCCACTACTTAAGGTGATGATTTTTCTTATAAAAGTTAGTAAAAAAACAAACCACTTATAGGTATGCTATCAATATAGATAGGTCATAATGTTTCTATTAAAATGCAAAAAATATCAAAATGCCATTGTTATATTGAATCATTAAGGGAACAACTTTGTAGTTTTGAAACATAAAATATATATTTAGTTGCTCTTGCATGCATGGATACTTGATTTGTATGATGACACACCATTATGCTTACTTTAAGTTAATTTTTACATACTAATGGTAGTAAGTTGGAGTAAGGAATATGGACTCAATGTCCACATTCTATTTGCGACCATGGTGAATATAATGACAACCCAATCAATAGAATTAACATGTGTGGTAAGGTGTGTTAGATAGACATGATTTCTTAGAACCCTTTTTTTTATAAAGGAAGGATTTTATTAATTTATAATCATTACATCAAGTTGATACACAAAAATATGAATTCAGTTCCGGTCTCTGCAAAAGTACACAACCTAAAAACAAAAAAAGGAGAGACTGTCATTCTAATGACTATCAATCCTGAGACTAGATCGCCACCCATGCCACAAACCGCACGCACAAAATGGCACTCAAAGAAAAGGTGCTTAATTGTATCATTTTTATGGCAAAAGCAACACTTTTCATTGCCCTGCATTTGCGTTCGGCTAAGTTATCTTTTGTTAAGATAACACCTGTATGAAGATACCAAAGGAAAATCTTTATCTTCATAGGGGCCTTTAAATTCCAAATAAGTTTGTTTAAGTTAAGAGTGTCTTGATGAATCAGAGCTAAATAATGTGACTTCACTAAGAATTGACCCTTTGGATCTAAATTCCAACGAAAGACAACATGGCCTTGTGATTTCTTAGAACTTGTGGATGCAAGAAAACGAGAACGTGTGAATTCTGGAGGAGAAACGCCATAAAAAGGGAGATACTAGTGCCCGGATGGACGCCCGCGTCCGGGCGCTCGTGCCTGCTGCATGCTCACACAGGCAGGGACCGCCTGGGCCGCTTTGTTCCCCACGCGCATGCATGTGGGGACCGCCGTATCATGCAGGTCCTCCCCGAACTCTTAAAAATATATTTTTAAATCCTCAAACTTGTATTTGTGTGTCATTTATATCTCAAACTTTCAAAATCTATTTTTAGATCTCTGGATTTGTCTCAATGTCCCATCGAGGTCCTTAAACTTGCTATAGTATATTATTTAGGTCCAAATAGACCCGATTTATTTTGTGTCACGATAACACATGCCATAGCGGTTGGATCCCACCTCATTCTTGACCCATGAAAGCAGCAAAGCTTCGCCTACCTCTTCCACCTAAGCAGCACTAGCTTTGGCCTTGCCACCAATGCTACTATGATGGTATTGTGGCCTTTGATGTGGAGGAGAGGAAGGCATGGGGTGGGGATGGTGAGCTCGAGACAGTGATGCGATTCCACACTAGATTGGAACGTGGAGAGAGGGGAAGAGCATGGAGATGGAGCTAAAAGACAGAGAGGGATATCATATAGATGGAGGATAAAGACCAACATGTGGGTTGGTTGGAGCTCGTTTGGACCTAAATGACATCCCTAGACAAGTTTGGATACCTAAAAATGCATTTTGAGAGTTCACAAAGCTAGGTGACACCACGAGACAAGTTTAACAATTGCTCATCATTTTACTCTTCCAACTATAAAAATTTTATGATATATGATCCTGATTATATATGACTTTGGTGCTAACAAAAAACTAACGGTACTAGTCTATCAATCTGTGCTGTTACAGGGCAAGTGTTTTTAGCAAGATCTATGGTAAGAACACATGGATAAATCTATAAATCAGCTAATCAAAATTGATAATCCTAATTTATCCATATTCTAACATAACGTACCCCATATATCCTGAACTATAAGGGATTTTGAGTTTTTATCCTCCTATAAGTGACCAAGTTCATAAAGAAGAGTATTTCACACCGACCATATCAGACAGGTAAATTGTGAAAAAATATCATAATGCATCTAGTGATGCTAATTATGTGTTATAAATATTAGTATTCTTTTCTATAAATTTGGTCAAATTTAGTAAAGTTTCATCTTATCGTGATGGTCATGGACTTTAGTTATCGATTACGTACTTTATACACTTTTTCATCTCTATTTTGATTTTCCCTACTGCATTCCAACTTATATGTGCTTGATGACATGGCTTTAACTAGTTAAAACCTTAGCTTAAACAATGTATTTGATATAGACAAAAATTTACATCGATTCATACATGAATGAGATTTGGATGGCCACGGATTACTTATGTACAACATGACTTAATTTTCTATGTTAAAGTAGTAGAAGTGAATAAGTTCAAAGAATACAAAGAAATAATTTAGGATATTGTGACAACATATGTAAAAATGTGGTGTGATTGATGACACATCAGGCATACGTACCTTGATTTGGGTTTTTATATTAACAAAGGTGAAAGTGGGTAATTTATAATTATATATAGAACTACCGTGGAATATAATTTTTATAATAATTTATGTAGATAATTTAGATGGAGATTTAGGATATTACTTGCCATTATTTTAATAATAGCACGTGGAGATGGCTAATTTAAATGCATGTTTAGCGGTTATAATCTAGTTGTTTTTATAATGGCATTAGTGGTGTTGCTTCAACTTATTTTAATAATGGAGGTGATGATCAATTTAGATGCAAATTTATGGAGTTAATTTATATTTTATTTTTTGTTATAGCATAGGTGGAAAATTTTGATAAAAACCAGGGTGTTACTAGTAACGTTAGCTTACTTTTCTTAATTGATATGTGGTAATCTATTAAATAATATATAGGGGATTACTGTGGAGCATTTATAATAATATAGATGTATGTAATATTTTAGAAAACAAAATGGATCTGTCGCTGTGCGCGGGGGATGCGGATGGGTGGGGTACAGGGTGGCCACGTGGAATAGGCAAAGCGGACGTCGGCGTGCGTGAGCGGGATTGAAGAGCGCACACATGAACGAGTTAAAGTTTAGCGCAGGGCTAAAAATTAGCCCTTAAAATAAAGAGGCTAAAGTTTAACCCCTGGGTCTGTTTGATACATAACAAAAAGGTGGCTAAAAGTTGAAAGAGAGAGGAGAGAGAAAAAGAGTAATGTTAGTACTTTTAGTCCTCTTTAGCCTATCTTGCAAGGGCTAATGGGCTAACTGAAGGCCTAAATATTAGCCCCTCCATTTAGCCCTTCTGTTTGAATCCCAAGAGCTAAAAGATGACTAAAAGTAGAGGGCTAATCTTTAGCCCACTCGATCAAACAGGGCCTAGTCAAGTTAAATATCGAGTCACTAACAAGTTCAGTAATGAACGAGTTAAATTAGCCAATTAGTGTCCAGATCTGGCATAGATTCTTTGCACCCACATGATTTACGCCGTGGTGATCTGATCTGTGTCTGGGTTAGGTGCAGATGCACCCTCCTCGAGCATGTGCGCTGTGCGCATACAGATACTACTCAGTTCGCCTATTTATTCGCCCTTCCTCTCTCGAGTTCACCGCAAGTCCACGACACATCCACCCCTTCCTCGTAATCATGGGCAGATTAGCCGGGGTGTGGCTGTTAAGCCTCCTCCTCGCCGTCGCGGCGGCGGCGGGGGAGCCCGAGACGGAGGTCCAGGCCTCCTACATTGTGCACGTCGCGCCCGGGCACGCGCCGCGGTCCTCACGTCCACGCTTGCTCTCCCGTGCCTACACCTCCTTCCTGCGCGACCACCTGCCCACGCACCTGCAGCAGCCGGAGCCCAGGCTGCACTACTCCTACGCGCACGCCGCCACGGGCTTCGCGCCCGGGCTGACGCGTCGCCAGGCCGACCACCTCGCGACCCTGTCTTCCGTGCTCGCCGTCGTCCCAGACGTGTTGTATCGGCCGCACACCACCCAGACACCGTCGTTCCTCGGCCTCTCGTCGACCGAGCCGGGTGGCCTCCTCCCGTCGTCGAACTGAGCTTCGGACGTGGTGATCGGCGTCATCGACAGCGGCGTCTACCCCAAGGACAGCGCGTCTTTCGCCGCCCACCCGTTAATGACGCCCCCGCCCGCCAAGTTCCGCGGCGGCTGCGTCTCGGCGCCGGCCTTCAACGCCACAGCGTACTGCAACAACAAGCTTGTTGGCGCCAAGTTCTTTTACAAGGGCTACGAGGCAAAGTATGGCCCGATCGATGAGGCTCTCAAGTCGCCGCTCGACACCGAAGGCCACGGCACGCACACCGCCTCCACTGCCGCCGGTTCCGCCGTCGGGGACGCCTCCTTCTTCAGCTACGCCAAAGGCAAGGCCGTCGGCATGGCCCCGGGTGCGCGCATTGCCGCATACAAGGTACTCTGGAACAATGGATGCATGGGCGCTGACGTCCTCGCGGCGTTTGACGAGGCCATCAAGGACGGGGTCGACGTCATCTCCTTCTCGATCGGCGCCAATGGAAACCCGCCAAAGTTTTACCGAGACCACAACGCCGTGGGCGCGTTCAGGGCTGTTAGCCAGGGCATCGTCGTTTCTGCGTCCGCGGGCAACGAGGGCCCCGGTGAGTCTACCGTCAAGAACAGCGCGCCATGGTTTATCACGGTGGGGGCGTCAGCCATCAACCGCCAGTTCCCAGCGAACGTCGTTCTCGGCAGCGGCGAGATCTTCACCGGCACTTCCCTCTATGCCGGTACGCCGCTTGGTTCAAGCAAGATACCGTTAGTCTACGGAGGAGACGTGGGATCAGAGACGTGTGAAGCTGGCAAGTTGAACGCCGGCAGTATCGCCGGTAAGATTGTTGTTTGCGACCCTGGCGATGGAGCAGCGCAAGGAGAAGCTGTGAAGCTAGCAGGGGGAGCCGGAGCAATCATCGGTACCGAAGAAGGGTACGGCGAGCAGGCCTTCACCATACCACACGTCCTTCCCGCGACGGCCGTGACGTTCGCCGCCGCCAAGGAGATTAAGAAGTACATAGGAGCGAATGCATCCCCCGTCGCGACGATCGTGTTCCTCGGCACTGTCACCAGCAGGACGCCGTCATCGCCAAGAATGGCATCCTTTTCCAGCCGTGGTCCGAACCTCCGGGCGCCAGAGATCCTCAAGCCAGACATCACCGCCCCAGGAGTGGACATCCTGGCTGCCTGGACCGGCGAGAACTCACCCTCGGAGCTCGTCAGCGACACGAGGCGAGAGTGAAGTTCAACATCATATCCGGCACGTCCATGTCGTGCCCGCATGTTAGCGGCATCGCCGCGCTGCTCCGGCAGGCGCGGCCCCAGTGGAGCTCGGCCGCGATCAGGTCCGCCCTGATGACCACTGCGTACAACGTTGATAACGCCGGCTACGTGATCAAGGACATGTCCACCTCCCAGGCATCCACGCCGTTCGTCAGTGGATCCGGCCATGTGGATCCTAACCGCGCCCTCGAGCCGGGACTGGTGTACGATGCTGGCGCCGACGACTACGTCTCCTTCCTGTGCGCGCTCGGTTACACCGCTGAGGAGATCGCCATCTTCACGAAGGAGAGGACTGACTGTTCCAAGCGCAAGGCCTCCGTTGGCGATCTCAACCACCCGTCCTTCTCGGTGGTACTCGGCTCCGACAAGAAAGAGGTCCAGCAGCACCGTGTCGTGCGCGATGTTAGGAGCGAAATCCTAGTCGGGTACACGGTCAGCGTCACTAGCCCCGCCGGCGTGCGCGTCACGGTGAGTCCACAGACTCTGCTGTTCAGCGCGTTGCAGCGGACGCTGAAGTACGAAGTCACTTTCACGCCGCTAAAAGGGGAGAACGTGACCGAGAAGCACACATTCGGATCCATCGTGTGGAGCGACGGCAAGCACAAGGTGACAAGCCCCATTGCCATCACCTGGCCAGTGAACCAGCAGAGCCAGGTGGCAGCAATGTGATTCAACTATATGTGTGAGTGACCTGGCTACTTTTGTGTGCGCATGTCTTGCTTTGTTGTAAGCAGCAGATGAGCTGACTATGAATAAGCTGCCTTTCATTTCAGTACTCCTCCATTTCATATAGTCGTGTGGTAGAATTGTTACTCCTCGCTGTAATTCAGAAAGAGTCTGTTTATCATGGACTCGGGTGTTTCAAAAGATGTTGGCACCCGTGTCACATCTCTTCAAATCACTCGATTCTACCGAACCAAGAAGACCGAGTGTTTCAGGGCTAGGAAACACTCGATTTCCATTAGCACATGATCCACATCTAAGGGACTAAATATAAAAGATCAATAAAGGCAAAAATCAAAATAAAAAATTAGTTTAACAAAACAAATCAACAGATTATTTCTATGAAAGACAAATTGGAAGAGTTTCAAATAAAAAGCAAAGAAAACATACAAATTTAAAATAAATATGCTAAACAAATTAACAAATTATTTCTATGGAAGACAAATTAGAAGAATTTTAAAAAAAATCAAATAAAACAAACAAATTTCATAACAAAAAAAAAAAAAAATGAACAATCAGTTTACACCAATTAAACATAAAACTTACTACTACAATATACAATGTGCGGGCCCTTATTTAGTTTCTCCACCAAAACTTTACACTCTATCACATTAAATATTTAGACACATGCATAGAGTATTAAATATAGATAAAAAAAAATTAATTGCACAGATTGTGACTACTTTGCGAGACGAATCTTTTAAGTCTAATTAGTCCATGATTTGACAATAAAGTGCTACAGTAACACATATGCTAATGATGGATTAATTAGACGTAATAAATTCATCTCGCGGTGATTCTATAATTTGTTTTTTTAAGTATCTGAAAAGGCAATGCGACGCTCCAGGAAACGTCCGATATTACACGCAAAACTAAACAATGGCCTTGTTTAGATTGTCTCAAAGTTCCAAGTTTTTTCACTCTCTCTCTATCATATCAATTTTTGGACGTATGCATGGAGCATTAAATGTAGATAAAAAAAATAATTAATTGCTCAGTTTGGTTGTAAATCACGAGACGAATCTTTTGAACCTAGTTAGTCTATAATCGGACAAAGTTTTTCAAATATAAACGAAACGTGCTAGAGTGTCCAGATTGTAAAAATTTACAATCTAAACAAGGCCAATGTGCTGCCTAGCAGCATGCACTGCAGGTCTGCAGCAGGTACTGCACCTTCAGAGCAGCATGCGCGGTGGTCAGAACTCAGCACTCAGCACTCAGCAGTGGTGCACCTGTGCGCATGCGTCTCCACCGCCACGCCCGACACCACCTTGGGTCCCGCGCCCGCTTCATCGCCTCCGTTAACGGCGCCGAATCGACGGACACAAAATCGAGTGACAGGAGCCCGACAAACACCCGAGTGAGATAAAGATTTACTGTATTTTATTACGTGAACAAAATGTTCCAAGGGGCTGTTAAGGCGTGTGGTATTGAATTTTTCTTTATATTAATAAAAAACGTGTAAACCTTTTACGTGATTGAGAAAAAAGTTGACAATTTAGAGTTATGCAACGTTTCTAACTTGACCAAATAATCTATAGAAATTCAGAAAATAGGCCACGCTAAGACATAACAGGTCGCTACGCAAGGTAATTGCGTGACCCTTTGCCCAAGTACCTGACCATATCACCAAAACAAAGCTAATTTTTGTTGTCAACTAGGCTAATTCCGTATGTCGGGAGTAGGGAGCAGGTGGAGATGGTACCTTGTCACGGTACATTTGTACTTGCCCATTTTATTCTCCTTAAACAACATTATCCCCTTTTGTATAGTGTCCATTTTTTTATTCTATTTGCAAGTCATTTTCAGGACAACTTATTGTACTCATATTTTAAATCTTGATTAAGCCTTTTGCGAAATTTAGCTCACCATTTTCTATAGCATTGATTAAATTTAAAGTATTTATTATTTAATCTAGAATATTATAGTCGTGAAGCTATATTTAAGTTGGGGCATTTTTTAGTGAAGCGAGAACATTTTATATTTAAGCTGGATCATTTTTCATACGAAATAGGAACATTTTATTAAAGAAAATATTTTTCTCATAAAGCTAGCTAGAACTCTTTTATGTGAGATGGAATATTTTTTCCTCATTGGGAAAATGTTATGAAACCATTGAGTTGGATGGGAAAAATGTTATGTTGATAGTCGTTGTTGGGCAACTCAGTGATGGGCTAACATCTTTGGGATTTCATTGTTTCCATTCCATTGCTAAGCAATTCTCCATCTAATATAATGCCCGACAAATCTCTTGCCACTCTTTTGAAAAAAAAATCCATTGCTAAGCCACTATCGGCCCCTCGCAACACGGCCCAGTCAAGCCTAAAAGAAACGATAATGCTTGGCCATTTTATTCCACTTCAGACTTATATTTTAAGCGATTCATCTAAATGTTGTAAAAGTCGATCTGTGATGTTGCATATGTTGCAATGGTAATATATGTATGTTGCAAGCCTATGTTTCAATTGTTTCATGTGTTTTCATACGTTTGTTTCAAACGTTTCGTCTGGACGTTTCAAAAGTTGATCTGGTGTTGTCATGTTGCAATGGCTATACATGCATGTTTCAAACACATGTTCAAGTGTTTTATCTTTTTTTTTGAAACAATGGCAGGAGTTCTGCCTTTCAATTAAGACGAATGAAGTTTATATACAAGCAAAGGTAACCAAGCGTGGTGCCAAACACCGCGAAAGGTTAACCCACCCACGCAACGCGGTAGAGTACACATTACCATGAGTCATCGTTGCGGCGTGGGTGCAAAAGCAGTATTTTATTACGTGAACCCGACTTCCCATGGCAAAACACCGACGACCCATCCTAAGATGACATACCAACGGGCCCGAATTAGAGTTATGCAACGGTCATCGTTGCGAGCTCAGACGACTCCAGGTCGCTACGCAAGAGCAGCTCCGACTTTTCCCGCCTTGATCCCGCCTCACCAAACAAGCTAATTTTTTGTTTGCCGCTAAAGTGAAACCAGGTGGAGATGGCCGTCGGAGAAGGAGAGGTTCTACCCAGCGTCATCGTCATTTGCCGAAGCTACACATCCCGATGCAAAGCTCCGACTTCCCGATGCGTAACTTCGCCGTCTCACGTCAACGGGCGCCGAAAAGGCAGAGGACAACCGCCAAGGAGACATCATAAAGTATTTATTATTTAATCTAGAATATTATAGTCGTGAAGCTATATTTAAGTTGGGGAGTTTAGAACATTTTAATTTCATACTGAAGGGAGAACTCTTTTTATGTGAGATGGACCTCATTGGGAAAATGTTATAAACCGCGTTGCCGCTTGTCAGTGATGGAATAACATCTTTTGGGATTTCATTGGTTTTCACATTGTGGAAGACATAATGGGGGCACAAAACACGACGCCTCAACAAAAAAAACGCCACCGACCTCGCAACAAGCGCCGCCCGTCGCCAAGGCTTTCACCGAGGTGCCCCTAGCACAACGTCGAGCTAAGATGTCGCATGTGTTGTAAATGGTCGCCGTTTCAATTATTTCGCCACCGCCATCGCTTATTTCAGAAGCCCCTCTTTCAAAGTTGATCTGGAGGCGCCAAACACATGTTCAAGCTTTTTTTGAAACAATCATTGAGCCGCTTTCAATTAAGACGAATGAAGCCGCAAAGGTAACCAAGCGTGGTGCCCCCCTAACCGACCATGAGGCAACATGCAGGTGGACTTACCTTGCCGCCGCGCAAAACACCCACGATCCACATCGCCACCAACGCCATCGCAACATTTGTCATCGTCGCGAGCTCAACGACTCGTGAAGCACTCGCCTTTGATCCCACTGGCACGATTGCCGCCAAGCTAAAACGCCGAAACCGCCGCTCTCCTCCTACATCCCCGATGCAGCGATGCCCCACCTCGGCCGCCTCGCCCAACCGGGAAGGCCCCTGGGGCACCGGAGACATCATGGCCATCATGACGCTTTTCAGAAGGCGGCGGAACCAGAGAATGGACGGGTTTCACACCAAGAAGCCATGGCCACCTCCACGCCAAGGCCAAGGAAAAAGGGGAGCGAGGAGAAAGAAAGGGCCCGCGCACCGCGCCAAGCGTCGCACCGGCACGCCATCGCAGCGCCGCCACCGCCAGCCAAGAAGCCTCTAGAGCGCCGCCGAGCCCCACGCATGCACCAACGCGACGCCAAGGCGCCGGGCGCGCCGCCCGCCCCGCCCACGCCGCCACCAAGGCGCGAAGAGAGGAAGATACCGCCTGGGCGACGCGATGCCCCACCCGCCGCCGGGCGCAAACGGGCCGCGGGAACATCGGCGTCTTGAGGAGCGCCGCCCGCCACCTCCATCAGCCAAGAGAAAAGGGCGGCGGAGGCTGAAGAAAGGTCTCGCCACCGAGATCCGGCATCCGAGCCGAATCCGCCGATCGAGCCGGATCAGGGCACGCCCGCCGCCCGACGAAGGCGAAGCGAGGCGGCGACTGGCCACCGGCGCTAAACCCGTGGAACCGCCCCAACGACACACGAGCTCTAGGACACGAGCCCATCCCCGATCCCATCCGCCGACGACCGCGCCACCAGGAGGCGAAAGAAGAGCCTCAGCCCGCCACGCCCCCAGACACGAGCCCTGGCCGCAGCCATCGCGGCCGTGCGAAGCGGCCGGCGCCTCTTACGGCTGCCTGCACGACGGGACGGAGAGAGAGGAGGAGGGGAGAGAGGCGGCTAGGGTTTGGGTCGCCTCTCGTGTCGCCTGCGTGGGGCGACGCGGGGGCTGGAAACGTCAAATGTGATGCATCTTCTTATATCCTCAAGTGTTTTATCTGTTTTTAGACGTATGTTGCATATGTTTCATCTAAATATTTTCAAAAGTAGATCAGGTGCTACATGGCGCCGGTGGCTAGCGGAGAGTGGCCTACCGCAGGGCTTCGCCTCGTACCTCGTGCGGCGGGCCTTGCCCTCTCCTTTCCTCTCACTCCCCTCCCTTCC